CCCCCTCCCCCCCCCCCACAAAGCAATATGCAGACTCTCAGAGCATCTTCTTGGGTAGAGAACAAACCCTAAACAACTCTCAGTAAAACAATATGCAACAGAAATCATGGTTAAATCAGATCTTTCCTTTAGGAGAGAGATCATGACAAGTTCTATATGGAAGGACTACATTTTTAGAGAGGCTCCAATGAAAACTACGGAAGAAAACAAGACAACTATGTTCATAGTTCGATAACTGAAGATTAAACAGATCCAGCTGAGATTTAAACTGGAAGTTCTAGTGAGACTACATAGCCCTAATTTGGATCTTTAGTAATTAAGCTACTCCCACTAACTTCACTTCAAATATTTCAGCATTTGTTGACCTGAATTAAAGCATGTCATTTTCACCAAACAATTCATATGTGAATGTTACTGGAGGTGCACAGAACATACATTCAAATATGAAAAACTTAAATGTTGTCAGTGCCTATATCCACCCTCTCTCCCTTGTCCCCACAACACAAAGGAGAATGAGATGCTGCGTAAAGCATCAAAGGCACTTTGCTTAGAACCGTGTGCAGCCCACATTGAACAATTATTTGGTGGCTGAAGTGCAGCTACTTCAACCTTTGCAGTGGTTCCCAGTTCCCAGTAGTTCAGGATCCCAGAGACAGAAATGGCTAGAAACATTTAATTAGAACAAAGTACTTTAAGCCAAGAAATGCAGTTGTTGCCATGATGGAATATGAAGCCAACATACCTGGAAAGGTTTATCTGGTGCCTGGAGCTGGATGTGACACTTGCTGGGCGAGTACCAGCTACTGATGGACAAGTAGTTTGGCAGATATTGATCTCCAGACGGTTTCCCATCAATCGCTGTCACTTTTGTCTTAACAAAAGTTACATCTGAATGTTATACATGCATACAAAGCCTGATTCGTACTCTCTTCTTACCCTGCATCCCCATCTCCCATTTTATACTTCGCAGCTGTTCCATCTCTTGTCATCTTTACACAGCAACAGTACTCTCCAAATATTGGACCCTTACTATGTTAAGCTGTATTTGGAGAAGCATCTTTTCATGATGGTTATCAACATCAGTTCTATTGGCAGCAAGAAACAAAGCAAGTGTTTGCTGCATTTAAATCAAGAAGTTGAAGCTAAAAGGCACTGATTTCCTGTTTGTAGCACTGATTTATAAAGTGCAGGTTTGACAAGATTAGTTACATTAAAGCCCGCTAATCCTATAAAGAGCTTTCACCTACCTCCAGCCAGACATATTGGGCGGCTGTAGGGATGGAGGGGATTTCAAACTCCACCAGGCCATTTCTTGATACCAGTTCACTTGTATAAACATTGTCCTTTGGTGTGAGTTCAGCTTTAATTCGGATAGTGACTCTGTCAGCTGGACTTCCATCAGGGTAAGTGACTTCTACCTACAAAGTGTTTCATTTACAGAACAACGGGTTTTACATTATAGTCAATGACAGAAACAGCAGGTGGGAAAAACACACCAGAACATGGTGTAACATCCTGGGATCAAGTCAGTATAACCTTGTATCAGCCACATGTCAGTGTCTCTACTTTTAATCTTACCTTTCCCTTGTAAGGCAGTCCAGGTTTGAACTGCTTTCTGGTATCCTTGGAGTACTTGATATCAATCAGCTGTTTCTGAACAGGCGTTGAGTCATCAAATGTAACCTGCTTGCTCCCATCAGAGCTGATCACAGTGGCCCAGATATTGACTGTGCCTCGAAAATGTTCCGGAACATCAGCTGGCATCATGTCTTTCACACACACATCGAAAACAGCAGAGCCATCAATCTACGAAGCATATTGGGGAACGGAAACATAAGTTTGCATTCACATTCAAAAAGCATCTAGAAGCCAAATCTAAAGCGTAGGCACTTGATAGGAGTTTGCAGCAGTATTTTTAAAGGATGTGGAGTGGAGGGAATTAATTGGGGAGTGGGTGAAGGAAAGAGGAAAGAAAGCAAGTTTCATTTTCCTCCCTTATCCATAGTCTGGACTAGCTCTGTCACAGTCCCTCATTCTCATGGTTCTCCCTCAGCTCCATATGATCTAAAACCAGATTAATACTATGTCAACAAATTCTCATCCCCCCAAATCATAAACATACCATGTAAAAATAGGCAATATTTTTATTATGCTGAACCCAATTATCACATTTATTCATTTATTTTCTGATCTCCCATCAGTAACATAAGATAGAGCTGTGGTATTAACTTCAAAGAGTACAGATCAGGCATTTTATCGCAGCTGACTCAATGGTCTCCCTCACCTGGGTGGTCTTGAGGACAGGGTGTCCCACTTCATGCCTGTAGTACCCTACGCCATTTATAGTCATATTGACAATTAACTTTCCTGTCACTGGTTTTCCAAATGTATATCTGAAATGGAAAGAAGATAATGAATAACTTCCAGCTGTTTTCTGCTTTTCTGATTATAACAAGGCTAGTACCATGTGACCTGCACATCTAGAAAACAGAAAAAAATATCACAGAAGGTTTTCCAGCTTGTTATTGTTAACATGTTTTATGAAGGCTCTTACATAGGAAAGCTTCTGATGATGACCAGAAATCATCTGAAAAGTCTGCAGCAGATGAGACCCAAGCTCCAGTGACTGCATCATCCTGTGGCTGTACTACAATCTATAGTAATGAAATTTTATTTGGGACACGTTCCTACCTGGCATGGACAGTTCCTTTTTCGCACAGTGAAAGGTCACGAATGTAGCGAGGGGGGTCAATCAGCAACTCAAATTTTGGTAGTACTACAGTGAAAAGAAATACAACAGAATCTTTTCAAGGAGATCTTATTGCCCAGATTATAGCAAAAGCATACACAGCTCTGACAAGATCACTGCTCGTGTTCGGATGAGGGCAGTGTAGCTAACATTAGCCAGGACAGCACTCAGCAGAGAATAAATCAACAAAAGTAGCAAACCAAGACCATCTTGGCAAGATGACCTTAGCAACACACCCTTAGATTTTTACTTCTTTTCAGAGGGATCTGTGTTCCAGGATTTGAGCCCAAGCTTTTTCTTTTAGAAACATGGTAAAGAGCAGAAATCACTACTGACTCCTCCACAATGTGTCGGGAATGGAGCTGAGATATTAGCAGTTGTCAGTGTCTATAAATGCTTCTGTGATCAGGTCAGATGCCATAGGTGGTAGGCTGGGTGTAACGATGCCCACCTTTCAGCAAACAGAGGGACTTGGAGACTGAAAAGGCAGGTAGCAAAAAAAGAATTCAGAATTCCAAGGAGGGCTCTGGGAAAGGAAGAAAAGCACTGACAGACTGAAAGCATCTTAAAGAGTTTTCCAAAGCAAAATTAAATCTTTGTTACATGAATAGATCGTGCAATATGACACTCCATTTCAGGTCCTTTACTTTATGAAGCGTGGAGGACATGAACAAAGGGCTTGGTTAAGTTGTAAGTGTCTATATCCCTGAAGTACATAGTCTCTAAAGAATTTTTCCTCATGACATTTTTAAATGCATTATTTCTCAGGTGTTTCATCTCAAGTAAAAACATTTCATAATGTATAATAATGTTCTTCCAAATGTGCGTGGGTTATAGTCAAAGTTGATTTGGATACAACTCACCATATTTCTGAACTTCAAATGATTTGTTGTATGTGTGCCCCTGCATTTCAGCAAAGATGAGCCATTCACCAAACACTGGCTGATCAGACAAAGGAAAACTCATATTTACAATACCTGAAAAAGGAAACAACATACTGTGAACTCTGTGCCACTCATCAGCCCTTTTCAAGGCTTACTGAACATGACTCAGTATAAGCAGAAGCAAAAGCAAATAACAGTACACTGAGAAAAAAAAAATCCAAAACTTACCACAACAAAATGGCTTCAAATTGCTCCACTCTATCATACGAGACCCCCGAGGATCCTGCATAGTGGTTTAGGAACGAGAAACATCACAGTGAAAATGAGTATTACTAATACACTTAACTCAGTTTGCAACAAAGAACTTCATTTTGCAATACATACGCTTTACTAACAGCTCAAATGTAACTAACATCTGTCAAAATTTTTCTGAAGATACTTTACCGGGGGGTATTTGCTTTCTAAAATTCAGCACTCATTTAAGGACACTGCTTCTATAGCCAACGCACACAAGTAAGCACTGTCAAGTGGCAGATCTTCCACCTATCTTAAGACACCTATTTTGGATGGGATGAACTGGCCTCTGAAGACGCTTTCTTTCTGTTCACAGAGGGAGCTGTACAACTAGCAAGACAATTTTTATCTGACAAAGTCAGATAAAATTAATCCTGCTGGTTTTGTCAGCATTAAATCTGTGACTGAATGCAAACAAGAGAAGAGGGTGAATTCTTCTGCTTGCTGACAGATAAAGAAAACACATGGTTAAAAAAAAAAAAAAGACTAGACACAGAAGGAACCTCTCATTCACCTCATAAGGAAGAAGACAGGAGCACCCTTTCCTTGCCATGAATTTCTATTGTCCACTATCATAATGTTTGGGTGCAGAGATGAGATTGGCCCTGCTATATCAGCCCAGGCAGATGAAGGATAGGAGAGTGTCTGCATTGAAAAGAAGGGAGAAATTGAGTGGGACTGTTACATTTATAAACCCCAGTGAAACTAGCCAATTCTTCTCAGGCTGAAAAATGGGAATGGATTTCTGAAACTGAAGTAGAAAACAAGTATATTTGTTGGTGATAACAAAAAAGCAAGACACAAAGAGCAGTTAAAGACACAGGGATAGAGATAATGGCATAGGTTACAGTTGGGAATGGCCATAATGGACTTGAAAAGGTACAGACGTGTGACTTGTTCCTCTTAAGGCTACAAGAATCTTGTGCCTCTACAGGATACATGCTAGATGATTGGCAGACAGATACTCACCACCACGTAAGCTTCAATCTGAAAGGAAAAAAAAAAAAAGAATAAAAGGCTTTATGAAACAAAGCTACTCTTCTGTTTCTCGTTATGAACTGCTCAGTCGATATAAGCAAGGTATGATGCACAAAGTGACAAAGTTTAAACATCTCTTCTTTGGTAAGAGTAGCCTGAGAAACATACGTTCATTCACACATCTAACTGGAAAACTAATACTTTGTGCATTATCTAAATAGAGCGCAAGTCTCTGAAAAGTTCTTCCAATTGCTTTGGTGTAGTTACATTGTATTTGCTAGCACCACAAAAGTGCGTATTCTGCTTCAACAGTAATCTAACCAAATGAAAAAAACTAAATTGTAAATAACAAGCAGCAATCACAAGATATGCCTAAATAGGTTAAGAAATCCAATTATATTTCTACATAAATGTATATTAGAGTAAAATACAGGTTGCCACGTATTCCATCATATTTTACAGTGCGAAAGAAAACAGTTTTCTTTACCCTGTCATTGACTGGTCTCAAGTCAGAAGTCACCATAAAGAGGTTTATCAACACTAAAAAAGGAAAAGAGGAAACTGATTAGTCATCACAGCTGACACTGAACAGAATATCTCATCCTAGAATTTACCCTTGAAAAAAAGTTTTGCTTGAAAGCAGCTCTAGCATCTGGCAAGTTCTCCAAGGTCACTTTACCTTTCTGCTTGGGTTTATAGACAGGTTTATCAGTCTGGATGAACACTGATGATCCTTTGCTATCAATGGTTACTGTGGTATAGTTATGAAAAATGTAGCCTTCCTCTGCTAGATGCCGGTTGCCCCAGACTTTTAGATGTGCTTGTCCACGAAGTCCTGAAGGCACCTAGAAAACAGACCATGAGGTGAGGAAGACACAGAAAAGCCTTTGAGCTTTCTGGGGAATATAATTGACACTGAAGGGAGCAAAGAGCAGCCACCTGCTGCATTTCAGTGTAACTATGTGTTAGTAATAAAAAGAAAATGAAGAACATACTAGACCTTTTACAATGTATAAACTTCAAAGGAGGCAAAGTCATGCTAAAAACATGGCAGGAAATTCTCTTCTACCCTTTCTTTATCACTCAAGCAAAGTGATATTTGATCTACATGTGCAGCTTCTACTAAAGAAGGTGTGTTACATGGGGAAATCAACCATGCTATGGAAGATGCGGCTCTACTGACAGAGGGGAAAACAAACAAACAAACAAAAAAAAACCCAAAACAAAACATGCATGCTTGCACATTTTCAACCAGTTGCTCAGAGAAATAAAAGACACTTAAAATGACGTTAGATTAAAAACTACAAAGTAAAAAATCTGATAATACAGAAATATTATGATGATAGGTCATAAGTTCAGAGCGAAAAAAATAAATAAAACCAAAATCAGCAATGGCACTGCAGATTTTATTCAATAGTGAGTTACAGTCTCTGGATAAAGAAATCTATAGCATTTGGTATAACTGCTGATGTTTCCTGTTACATAGATCTATATTATACCTTCTTGAAATGAAAGGAATACATACTTAGGTATTTCTGTATTAGCACAGTAAAGGGCGGGGAAGTATCAAACCCTTTCTAGAACCAGACACGGTTTAACTACCGGCAGGATAGAGCAGTATCAACATCAGCCACACAGTAATTACAGAGAAGGCAAAGAAAACTCTGGGGTATGCCACCAAGGCAGAGGAAATCCAATCAGTCATGACAGACCATCACCAAGCTAGTTAGACTTCAATTTATTTATAGGTCAATGATAATGTAGATGATGCAGTAGGTGCAGTGAAGGCATCTATGCTGTGCTACAGTAATACAACAGAACTGTTCCCAAATACCTGGATCCACTGCAAAGAAAACAGAGTGTTTTTCTTACAGCACTGAATAGAAAAGACTCATTCAGACATGACCAGCTTCAGTCAAGAGCTAGTGATGCAGTATGAAGGGTTTTTTTCCCAGGGTCGTATGCTACAGCGATTAATCTAGCATACTATCCAGAGCCTACAGCTCTGCATGGTACTAGCTACTGCTATTCCAGAGGCACATCACAATTTAATATTTACATGATTTGTTCCACCCACCCACTTTACCTCCCATCAGAGATGACAACTCCAAAGCAAATCCTGACTAAGTTAAGAGATCCAACACTTTTAAGACTTGTTCTTCAGTCCAGCTTCATTTTGCCTACATTTGAAGTAATAATCTTCCACCGCAAATCACCAAACATAATACACCTCTTCCAGTTCCAAATGTTTTGATGGTGCTTAATCAACAAGACTGAAAACTCATATGGCTTTGAACTTACACCCCACTTTTCAAAGATCTAGGAAGAGGGATGGAGACAAAGGTCCTGTACCAGCATGGAAGCACAGCCAAATTATCTCACTGAAACCATGAAAATGGCTTCATTTTTCTCTGTATGGTATCACTTAGTCCTACACACAGCATAAACTAAATTACTTCTTTCAATGAACAGCGAACTCTGAACTGGTAGCATTTAGCTCACTCCTTGGCAAGAGGAAGGATAACTGATGCAAGATGCAAAGCAGGGGAGATCTTTCACAGGATGTCTTTCTGCTTTAAGAATGACTACCTTCCACTGCACCCCAGATCTCCAGTATCCCAGCAATTAAAATAAAGCCAGATATCGCTTTAAAAAGTGTGATTTACTAAGGTAAACATATATAATTTCTTTTTAATGGCTACTGGCAACCCTCTGCCAGAATTGCATTTAAATTCATCATCATTGCACTCCACTACAAATCCTCTTTGGAATTAAAAGTTGTTTTCATTCCCTCCATCTCTTTAGTATGGGTAAGCTTCATTTTATGGACTATGCTGATGGCAAAAATATTACTAACGTCAAAGGCTAAAATGTAGACAAAACTGGTGAAAGCCTATGTTTTTTAAATAACATAGTAGTACCAGAATAACTAGCAGAGACACAATGGTCAATAATCTGCCATTTCTATGGATTTCTGTGGTCTGTCCAATGCTCCATGTCACTTACATAGCAATATGTACTGCCATTCTTATAAAATAATCACAACATAGAACTTTATGTTGAGCAATGAGCCACAGATTCAGCCACTGATTTTCTTCAGTGGTGTAAGGGCCTGACAGATGAGCTGTGATGGATTAAGCTTTGTTCTTTTCACTCTCCACTCTTCCTCTTGCAAAGGTTGCTTCCTCCTTTGTGTGTGCACCAGAATGCGACCTGTATTTGTGCCGCAGCTGCTCAGAGAGCCATGCCTCTGGTTGAAGGCAAGTCCCTCATGTTTTCACCAAAAACATCTTAAAATAAATTGACACTCACCTTCAGTTTAATTGTTCCTTTATCTAAAATATGAGAGAGAGAGAGAGAGAGAGTGTTAGTTATTCTTCTCAAGCTAAGGTACTAATGTTTTAGCCATTTGCAGTTGAGTGAAAGGAGACCCCATGTCATAGAGCTGCTAACTGCAATACCCCTTCATTATGATTTCACGTGAAGTAATCTTCCTGCATTGTATAAAACAATCTGCAGGGTGAGCAAGTCGGACCTAGTAGAGTTCTCCAGAATAAACTTGGTCCACATTTATTCACAATTTTTTCCCCAAGGTAAATTGCAAAGTGCTCTATGGTTAGAGAGTACCACCAAGGCTGAGGGTTCAGCACAGGGCATCCTATGCTTACAGAAGTATTTTGCTGTAAAAAGGACCCGGCCTCTTTTGGGACTTGAATAATTCTCAAAACAAACACTTATAGAATCTATTTTGATTGCTGGATACAGCCATACCTAAGATTTCTCTTTAGCATATGTTGTCCACATGTGTAAGCATCACTCCCTTTGAATTACTTAGCAATTGTCAGCCAATTTCAAAGACGACAAGGGGAGGATAAAACCAGAGACAATCTGTTCCAAGAAAGGAAATGGCTTTTATATAACTCCCAGTTTTTACACACAGAAGGGTTAAAACATGATGGTTAAAGAACCTGATTGCCTGAGCCTTGTCTACATTACAGCTTACACCACTACTAGCAGTGGTAGAACAGCGCTCCTGGACTGCATTTTCACTAATGTAAATTCATTCAGTATTAAGTTGGACATAATCAAAACACTTTTTGTCTTTACACACAGGACAGAGAGGTATCTGTCTTGGATTTCAAAGACCCAACTGCACAAATATTACCACTTCTCTCAGCAATACTCAGTCCTGAAGACAGGCAGATTGCATTTCCAGCACTCATTTTAAAATAAGGGTAGAAAATGATGAAGTTGTTGTAGATTTTATATTTTTCTTTCAAGTCAACTTATCTTATTCCTTATACAGCTCCCCAGCGTCAAACATTCAGGTTTCAAAAGGAAAGATAGTCACTATAAAACTCTTGAATATCAATTATCCAGGGTCTCTGTATGTCTTGGTGTTCCAAAATTATCGGCCTCAGATGTCTGAGATCACATATATCGAAACCACATTAACACAATCAACTGAGAACGTTTAGCAGTAGCCAATGAATTAAATATTAGTTTGGTTCCAGTTCCGTTATCACCTAAAGCAATTCTCTAAGAGATACTGACATGCTCCCACAGCACCTCAACTTATAAACTAGTTCTCAAGTTCAGAATTACAGGAACTTACCCAGAACTGTTCCGTGGCCTCGTGACACAGTTTCTCCTTTGACTACTAGCTGAATCTGGACTGTTGTCTCCTTGACAGAGTTAAAGATGGTTACGCTTATAGCTTCCTCAACACCAGATCGGAAAACAGAAGGTGCCGCAATCAAATAGCCCCTGAGGAGCAAAATTGGAAGTGGACGGTCAAGAACAGCAACAAGAGTGTGATCTTTATTTGTAAGCCACTTTATGTATAACAAAAGGAAAAGAACAGACTACTCTGTAACACATTTGCCCCTGTAGGGTCACATTTGTGACCACCAGCAGTCTAGGCCTGTATCTAATATGCATAAAATGAACACAGATTGTAATAGAAACGAACAGAGCCTACATGACTTACAAATCCTTAGTATTTAAATAAAGACAGTAGTATTGTTTATTGCATATATATTGTATAGAAATTTATTTATATATTATAAACAAACTAAATATACAACTAGCTAATCATAAAAAGGCTGAGGCTCATGAAAGAATAAGGAGGTACCTGAACCTCCAGGACAGTTTTGTAGGTAATGCTTTGTTTTGAAACAATTTAGATACTTCTAACATTTTTGCCTCAATTATTTTTCATGGCCCCATTTTCATAGTTCAACTTGATATACAAAAAAAGAAGTGACTCTCAGTGCTGATACTCAGCACTTTCTAAATGTCAGATTCGCATTCATGTAATGCGTCTAAACTTCCAATTTATATAGAAGCAGCCCAGAAACTGCAGTTACAAAATTGGGCTCAAATTCTCAGTTCTGCTACCACTTTTTTGTTCAAACAATTATATGGTGCAAGTTTAAAAACCCCGGCAAAAAGGAATTACTTTAGCAGGCACACAAACAGCTTTAAAGCCACCCTAGACGACCTCCCATATATACTACAATCCTTGTGTTTCTGAATGGAATTTGTACCATTCCTCTCTGCTGAATGGCACCACGCCATGAACTTGTCAACTAAAAGCATTACAGACTCTGAGCTCTTTGATGCGTTGGGCTGCAAGCAACGCATTTATATTCTCTTCATGACACACCTTTCTGGGGGTTTTTCTACCCAAAAGGATTTTTTTTTAAACGAGGCAATTCCTCATACGACTCTTTAAGCCCAATTTCTCAGCCCATGCCTTTCTACAGCTCCATGAGCCAGGTTGCTTTAGCTCATGATTAATTATCACTTTGGGATGAGGATGATGGTGTTTTACAGCCCCCAAGTCATCTTTTATCAAATTCCAACCCCATGTTTCTCTCTCAGCAGGCCTCATTGCCATGGAGATCCCATTACCCCCAAAGGAAGTTCAGATCTCTGTGGCATTTGAGTTAAATTGCACGGGGTACTTGCAGATTCAAAACCTTATGGTTGCCAGGCTTGAAAATTCATCAGAACAATAATAAATAACAATAAAAAGTTACTACTTAGCCTGCAAATTCTTGGTAAGAAAGACATAGCTGGTCTAGTTGCAGAGGGAGAAAGAGTACCATCTGCATCTAGTATGAAATGATTAGATTCAAACTGTCACATAAGCACAGCACTACAGTGCCATATGTGAAGCACATGTATTCACATTGTTCTAAATTGCTGCAACTCTTTCTGAAGTATCAGTCCATTGATACAGCTATTTGAACCGCTTAATAAGTGGCATTTTAATATTGAATGTTTAACTTGGCAATTAAACAGTTAACTTGACAGTGACTGGACAGATCCTTTAAGCACATTTGACTAACAGCTCTGTCAGGTTACACCAAAACTTGGCAGGACATGAAATATTTTCTAGTAAGCAAGTGAAAATAAGTTCTCCATGGCACTCAGTTAATGCAGCTATTCACAATGTTGACGGGCTATAATAAGCTAGGGATAAAGAACAAAGCAAACCTTAATCAAAGTTAACCTAAACACGCTGGAACGAGCTGTGGATTCAGTTTCTAAAAGCCAGAGAACTTTCCCCGCAGTGAAACGTTTCTCCCCGGATGATTTTCCCCACAAGAATGTTTCACATGCTCTTCGGGAGCAACCAACATTACCTTCAACCATCCCAAGCACAACAGCAGCCCCTGCGCAACACCCCGGATTCCTTAAATAATTGTTTGCAGATAAAAGCTTTGCAGCCGCTCGCTGGAGGAGCTAGAGGCAGGTATTTCTAGGGAGGCTTTCTTCTTTTTTTTTTTTTTTTCCCCCTTTCCCTGCGCTATGCACTTTTGCACCGGCGAGTACAAACGTGCTGCTCGGCTCGGGAACCGCCGCAGCTCGCCTCCCCGACCCCAGCCCCTCGA